AGACATATATATATATATATATATATATATATATATATATATATATATATATAGATATATTTCATCATTGGATAAAATTTTATCCTGGATTGAAAAACTGGCCCTTGGTCATTTTCGGGAGTAAGTGATAAAGAGCTAAATCATCTCAGCAATTGATTTGAGTTATCGTCGTTATTATATTTATGTGTTAGACTCAACTTTTGTTTTATTTTATTAGTAAAATCGTTGGTATTGTGGTGCCAAGCAAAATATAAATTTGCTCTAAATTTATCACGTTCTTTTTTCTTGACACCTAGTTCGTTACAAATATTTTGAAATATTAATAAATTACGAGTTGGACCGTCCGGAATTTCGTCTAAAGTTTCAGTATAATTTAATACTGCATAATATGCTTTAGTGATATTGAACTTCATTATTCAATTAGTATTTTTCGAAAAATTTATTGGCAATATTAATTTATTATTAATTACGATATTTTGACTGTTGCTACTTGATCTGTTAATTTTTTTTTAAATAATAAGTGAATAACTTCTGGCGCTAAATGTTACATTACCAACGTCAAATTTGAATTGTAAAGAGGGCGACACCGACACGTTTTATTATAAGTATACATATTCAATTTATTAGTTTATGTGATGGTTTAAAAATAGAAAAAGAATCATTATAATTTTAATTTGGCAATTTGCTTTGAATATTAATTTTTTTTTTGTTAAATAAAAAAATACTCGTCTAGATAACGAAAAATTAAAGACGAGTAATTTGTTTAATAATAAAAAAAATCAAATTTTCATAAATTACAGAATTTTTATTCTAAAAATATCAAATATCGATTCATTGCAGATTTCAGAGCTTACTAATGAGAAAAAAAAAATACTCGTGTCGATTTCGAAAAATTACATAGAAATAAAGTAAATTTTTTACTTTTTTACTAGCTCATAACCTAAAAATACTAAATTAAAAATTTAATTTTTTAATTATAACTCGAATAATATTTTTTTTACAAAAGTAAACAAATCCTTGTTTACACAATAGCATAAAAAACACGAGTAATTTTTTTAATCAAAGAAAAAAAAATTAGTTGCAAAGTTGCAAAACTTTTATTTTTAAAATTGTCATCTGTCGGCTAACTTCAGGGTCATTCACAATGCTTAGTCAATACACACATGTATGTAAAAATGCGCGAGAAGGATTTACACGCACGGGGCACGGATTGGTCATATTTCAAGACGATTTGGTAATTTACCCGTGCGCGTACATGTGAAATAAGTAAAATTACCACTTTTCCCGTGCCCTGTGCTAGCACGGGAATATGTCAATAGCCACGCTCTTTTTTTAAATGTAAGATTTATTTCAAAAAAAAAAAACCAGATTAATTTTTATTAATCAAAACAAAAACATCTATTGTTTGATTGATCTATTTCGATGATAGGGCAATATTATTAATAATTGGATTTTATCCATTAAACTATTTTTGTACTAATCTATTCAAACGCTAGTAGGTATAGTAACAAAAAAAAAATTTATTTCAGGTTATAAAAATTATTCAATAAAAATTAATTTTTATAATAACAAATAACACTATTAGAATGGATATACCAGGTAATATTTTTGAACTGTGCACCGAATATACTCACTTTAATCTTATCACTAATTATTTTTACTATTCCAGTGGACCATGAAGAAAAACACCCAGAAGTACTCTTAAAATTGAAAGTCGATCGTCATGTTTACTATCAAGATACATTCAACGAAAATTTTTATTACGAAAAATCTAAAAAATCTTGTACGTATCCTTTTGTTTGATAATACAGCTACCGGCAATTCGTTACTCGATAATATTAAATCCTCGTTACATCTGATAAACATTGGTTTGAGTGGTCCCACAGTTAATCAAACAAGTTATAATTTAATTTTCGTGTCATTTAATTTATTAATCGATTAGGCGTATGGTTCCACTGTTTTTTTTTTACTATAAAACATCTAAAAATTGATTTATCGACAAACTTTTTTTTTTATTTCGTCCCTTACAGACTTGCCAATCTTTTTTTTTAAAATTTACAAGTTTGATGTTTATATTTACTTGCGTATTTTGAACATAAAAAAATGTATATCTTCTTGTTTTGCATTGAAAATTTTTGAACATCAATTTGTAGAATATTATAATATTTTTTTCTCAAAAAACTTGAAAAACTGAATTAACTTTCCATCCCTGATTCAGAAAGATGATTTGAAATGATTACCTTCATGTTAATTGTATATCTATATAGTATTCAAATCCGACGCATTTAAATCATTTCAAATTAGATTTATTAATCAGGGATAATCTTTCAAATTTTATTCTTGAACCTGTCGAGGTGAAGAACAAAGTAGAAAAAAAAATCTTGATTAAGTTAATTGTTCGATTTCTTATGGCCGAAAAACGGTGGATCTACCCATCTAATCAATTATCTTGAATTTATTCTGATTAATTAATCTATTCATAGTGTGTTTTAATAATTTAGTATTAGTATCTCGTTGTTACACGTCAGTAGCTTCTAGAAACTAACGCTTTTACCATTTTGTAGGTTCATTAAACTAATTGAGTTTTATTAATTATACTTTTTAGTTGCTAAAAATGTATTGGTGTCGATGAAAAATAAAAATTTAAAGACCTCTTTGAGATCCTTCATACCAGTATTTTATTGGCTCCGTAAATATAGATGGAAAGATTATATATTATCAGATATTATTTCTGGGATTACGGTAGCTATAATGCACATACCGCAAGGAATGGCGTATGCTTTATTGGGAAATGTTCCACCAATAGTTGGCATCTATATGGCATTTTTTCCAGTATTAATTTATTTCTTTTTTGGAACGTCAAAACATGTTTCTATAGGTTAGTCCAAATTCAATTATATTCAAAAATATCTGTCGAGATTTTACAAAAACTATTTTTCAATTATTTTCAGGTACTTTTGCAATTGTATGCCTGATGACTGGCAAAGTTGTTGCAACTTATTCTACTCCAATTAGTTCTTCCTTGTCAAATAGTACACTGTTTGATTCTTCTCGTGACTTAAATGATAGCTTACCTATGTTTTATTCACCCATGCAAGTAGCTACAGCCGTTACTTTTTCTGTAGGACTATTACAGGTAACTAGGGAATTAAACAACTTTGTAGTAGAGACTTGAAAAATAATAATTCTTATTTTGTAGTTACTCATGTTCATTTTACGATTGGGAATAATAAGTTCTTTGTTAAGTGAAAGTTTAGTAAGCGGATTCACTACTGGAGCAGCGATTTATGTTTTAATATCTCAAGTAAAAGACCTTCTAGGTCTACAATTACCAAAACGCAAAATAACCCATTTTAAATTGGTATATGTAAGTACACTCCATGTTTAATCGTTCGTAGAACACTCTACTTATGTGACGTCTCAACTTTAAATGCAATATTCTAGTGATTCAGTCAAATAACTTCATTTTTACGAAATTATTCCCGCTGATTAATTAAAAATTTTATGAAACTGTTCTCTATATTAAGAAAAAAAGCCTTGAATATTTAAACCTTTAATATCATTAACTCGTGTTAAAAAAACTATATTTTTGGTCTCGTGACACCAAATAAAACAATTTTGATATTTTTTTCTAAATCCTAATACGTTTTTATGCCAAAAAAGACTTTTTGCAATAAGTAATAAAATATATCAGCGCTACACATTCGATTCTACAAAAAATATTTTCAAAATAAAATGAATTACTTCATTTTTTGTTTAAAGACTTCTTACAATGTTAATTATTCCTCAATATATTTGCATCACAGCTAAAGAAATCATGTAAATTACGCACGATTAATTTCTTCTAACGTGAGAGAAATTATTATATTTTATATTTTCGTTTTCAGACTGTTATAGATATATTCAATGTACTTAAGTATCCCAATTTCGCAGCCCTCACTGTATCTACTGTGACAATAATTATTATGGTACTTAATAATGAATTTTTCAAGGTAACTATAATCAGCGTACTTATCATAACTAATTATAAAATTAATATATATATATAAATTAAAGCTTTTTAATAAATAATTAAACAACATCACTTATAAATATTCACGTAATCATAAATTCGACTCTTTAAACAATTTTACTTGACTGAAAGCCAATATATTTTTCATATTTCACGCATACGTTTATACATAATAAATTTTTGTCGTACTAATAGAGTAGTATTCACGAGTAGTAATTCACGTTATGCATAATTAAAAGTAACCACGCATGATTCATTTAAGAGATAGTCTTGTTGAAAATTTTTCAAAATAACTTTTACATTTGACGGTAAAATAAACAGTTAACTCAGTAAATTCTTAGCAAAGATGATAAATCTTCGCTACTGAAAACGAAGTGTTTAAAAAAAATTGAAGAAGCATAATGATATATTTTATTAGTCCAACGAATAGCATTTATAAAATTTCTTTAAATAAAATATAATTATAAAATAACGTAAAACTTCAGAAAATGCCTTGTACAAATAACAATTTTTTTAATTAGTAAAATTTCTGAAATTTGATTGAGGATAGTTGTAGATTTCTGATTTTTCACTTTCAAAGAATGTATTTTTTTCCACACTTAAAAATAGTATTCTTATTCAGTTTTATCAGAATCGCAAATGATGCAGCATCATTCTTTAATGAACTTATATGAATTTACACTATATTAATTCTATCTATCAAGCCATGGCTTAAGCAGAAATGCAATATGCCATTTCCCATTGAACTAATTGCTGTGATTTCTGGAACCATCATCTCAAACTATTTTGATTTAGCTGGACATTATGTTATTGAAACAGTTGGTAATATTCCAACGGGGTAAGTCACTAATTTATTCTATAAAACAAAATCCATTTTATTTCTGATAAATTTAATACACTTACAGACTTCCAAAGCCTGAGTTACCTACTATACAATTGATAAAAGATATTGCAACAGATTGTATAGCTATAACTATGGTATCTTATACAGTTACCCTATCAATGGCATTAATATTTGCTCAAAAATTACACTATGAGATTGACTCCAATCAAGAGCTTTTTGCAATGGTAATATAACAATTATAATTAATACTTTATTTTTTAAGCTAACAAATTAAAATATTTAAAAAAAACGAATAAAAACGATTTTTTTAGGGCATCAGTAATATTTTTGGATCATTTTTTTCATGTATGCCCGTGTCTGCATCTTTAAGCAGATCACTAATTCAACAAACTGTTGGAGGAAAAACCCAGATAGCTAGTATAATATCTTGTTCAATTCTTTTAATTATATTATTATTTATCGGACCATTTTTTGAATCTTTACCAAGATCAGTTTTAGCATCGATTATTGTTGTAAGTATTAATAACAAATAAAAGAACACTATTCGTAATGAAAATAGTTAACAGTAGGTACGCAAAGAAAAAAATTTCAAGTATATGCACACTAGGGTGTGCCAAAATGTAACTTCCTTGATGGACCTTTTAAAATTGGAATTTTCAGTTCCGCTTTTAACAAGAGTTATGTTTGGGCATTTCCTGGCAAATTTTGGGCGTAAAGGATTTATTTGATTTTTATAGAATTTTTTATCAGGAGTTTCATTTGGCCATTTTTGCTGGAATTGAAAAATTTCAAAATTTAGCCGAACAAAACTCCTGTTAAAAAATTCTATAAAAATCAAATAAATTCTTTACGCTTAAAATATGACAGAAAATGCCCAAACACAACTTCTGTTAAAAGCGGAACTCAAAATTCCAATTTTAAAAGGTCCATCAAGGAAGATACATTTTGGCACACCCTAATGCACACAAACAAACATTCTAATAGAAATGGTCGAAATTGTTTTCTAAAAGCACAAAACATCAACACTCATTTAGCAATTTTGCGAGATTTCATACCAAACAAACGATAAACTATTATACTTTCTTGTGCTGATCTTCCATGAGATTATTACTAGCGTGTCTACTTGATGGAAACGCAATTTTCAAAAATTTTACTGAAAACAAGAATTTTCGGAGTTAAAAAAAATTTTTTAATTTTCCTTGTAAGAAGATAAAAAAAAAAAAAACATTGTTTTAAGGTTTCATTAAAAGGAATGTTATTACAAATGAAACAATTCCTTCGTTTTTGGAGACTCAGCAAACTAGATGGTATGGTTTGGATCATGACCTTTTTGATTGTAATAATCGTAGGGATTGATGTGGGACTTCTAATTGGGCTACTTACATCTATATCGACAATTTTGTTTTTAAGTATTAAATCTTACTCATGTTTACTGGGTCACATTCCAAACACCGAGTTATACTTGGACACAAGCAAATACAAGGATGTAAGTTTTTATTTATTTCTTTTTTTGATGGTAGATATTGAGCAAAGTAGGATATTCCAATTCACATGTGAAATTGCCTGTACGAACCGAAGGGTAGGATAACAAACAAGGAGATTGGGATATTCTAATTTTTTCCGTGGCTTACATACTTTTACCATATCTGCATCTAAAAATTCGACATTTTAGATTATTGAGTAAAAACGATAATAACTAAGATGATTTATCATATTTTGTATTTTTCTTTAAAAATCAAAAATAATTTTTTTTTTTTGCTAACTAAAATATGAATTTGAATGGTGGATGCAGATAAGGAAAAAATTTATAATATTATTTTGGAATGTCACTGCTGTTTACAAACTAAATCATTTTTTCAGCCTATTGAATTGCCTGGAATTAAAATATTCCATTATCGTGGCGGATTGAATTTTGCTAACAAAGATTATTTCAAGTCAAAAATTTTTAAACTTGTCAACATTGATCCTCAAAAAGAATTAAAATTGAGATCTAAGAAAGCGAAGAATCAATTCGAGATGCAACTAAGTGATGGAAATAATGAAAAATTACGATTTTTAGTGATCGATTTAAGTTCATTAAGTTATATTGATCCTAGCGGTGTAGCTATTTTATATAATATTGCTAATGAATTTAATTCAATTGATATTTCAGTATGTATAACAGGATGTTCAGGCCCAATTTATGACAGTATTTTAGAGTATGATAAGCATGTATCCGAAAAGCCTAACTTTCTAATTCTTTTGACAATTCATGATGCAGTAACTTATGCTCTTAGTGAATTTACATCTATATGATAAGTTATTTAAATGTATGCTATTTTTTAAATTTATATTTTTATAATGTTAACAATAATTGTTTTCATGACAAATAATGAACAAAAATTAAAAAACCTGAAAAAACATATATTTTGAGTATTTTCGACTGTAAAACATTTTGTAGAAAAATAAAATAATGTTGAATATTCAAATCTCTGCGAGACTTGTTTCATGTATTTAACTACATTTGAACTTACTTTTGTAATTTTGCTAAATAATTTTAGTTAAATTTAATCAAAATATAGTTCAGATAAAACTGGACAAATATACAATTCTATCTGCGAGAAGAAAGTTTTAAAATTAGACCAATTTGAATTTTCTTTTCATGAGGCCATTTGATTTTTTTTTAATTTATAAAATTCTACGTAATAAACCAAAATTTTTGAGATATTATCAAACATGGAATTCAAATACCTTCACATCAAGAAATAAGTTTCTTTCCCTTATTAAAAAAAATAATTAAAGAGTATTAAAAAGAAATAATTGGAATTTTTATCATTTTGAATACGATCTCTCCTAGATGTTTAACATGTAAAATCATTTTTTTATCGTTTTGTTCAATAAAAGTTTCGTAATTTTGATCTTTTTTCGTCTTGGGATTACAATAATAAGTTAGATTATTTATTATTACATGATTTAAATCAGTTATTTAATTCACAAGACAATAAAAAAAACTAACATAATAATAACAAGTGTATATAAAAAAAATTAGAAAAACGGTTTACCCTAAAGGCCATCCCTACAACTTCCCGCTAATTCCATATCTAAACGCTTAAAATTGCACTTATGACGTGTTTGAGTTCTTCGAGCTCGAAAATATAACTTATGTGTTATTTTGAGCTCTCCAAACTCAAAGAGTAAGCTGTTCTATGCTTATGAGCTCTTGTCGCTCAAAAGTCTATTAGAAGTTTAATAAAACACCAATTTTTGAATTTTCAAACCGCAAAAACTTTTTAACGAATGAACCGATTTTCAAGCAGTTTGTAGTATTCGACGCAGTTTCACTAATTCTATGATATACTTTTGAACAAAAATTCAACGATAACTCACGAACGAATCAATCTATTTTGACGCGCTTGGCGGCGATCGACGTGGTTTTTTGATGTTAAGAACTGATTAGTTTTTGGAATCGATCGGTTAAGCCTTTTAAAAGTTATTCCAAAAAAACCACATTTGAAAAAATTTTTTTTCATGATTTTTTTGAGATTTCTCAAAATCTACTGGTCCGAATCGGTCCAAAGTGTATGTAAAATCTAAGTTTGGCCAAGCCCTTTCGAATGGCGTCAACCAAGATGAAATCGGTCAAGCCGTTCAAAAGGACCTCAAAACTTTGAGATCTGATGAAAACTTGATTTTCGAAAAACGGGGTAAAAACAATAACTTCCCGATTTTCGAAAATTTTCAGTTTTCTTAGCGGGAAGTTAAAAAAGGTTGATAACTTCAAAAGTGCATGCCTTGAGCGCTCATATATAATTCAATTTTGATCTTTGCTCGAATTTTCTATTCTGCGAATTGAACGTCTTCATGAGTAATGACAGTAAACTCACTCAACACTTTTAAATAGGACTGAATTTTCATAATACGGAAATTAGCAGACATCTGTCAATTTTTTGGATTTTTATAACTATCGAATCATTATAATTAAATTTGAATAAAAAAATTTCATATCTAGAAGTTAAAAAAATTACTAGTGCTAACTTTTCAGAAATATTTTTTTTTTATAATAGATTTGTAATAGAAGTACAAAAAATTGTCAGATGTCTGCTAATTTCGATACCATGAATTTTCCTGATAAAGAGAAAAATTAAAATTATATAAAGTAGCCTAATTTCTTAAAAAAACTTTAATTTTTTATGCTTTTTCATTGCAAAAAAATACTTACAGTAGTAATGTATTTATCCATAAACATCTGCATATCTGAAACTGATAAAAAAAATACAGTTTTTGAGGGTAGGCTCTAGTAAATGTATTTTACAATATTTGCCGCTATTGAAGAAGCTTCATCATAGTTCATTTAAAAATTTGTTAAAAAAGTAATTAGGAAATAAAATTCCAGACAGTACATTTATTACGGCGTAACCTTAAAAACTCGTCGATGTGAATAATTTTAGGCATGACTTTATCACGCATTGTTTTTGTTTACTTTATTAATTTATTTTTTTCATGATTATCTTTCATTTTACATAATTTAATCAGGTTGCAAAATCTCATACTCTTATTCATATATAGTAATCTTATCAAGCATAACATATTTTTTCATTTTTTCGAACGAAAACAAATTATTAAAAGCTGAGTATATAAATTACATTAAACATTAAAGTTTGGTCGTCCCCACTTCACTCATTTAAATATCATACAACTCTCTTACCCCCACTTTTCAAAACTCAATGCATTTCGCGTCCATTTATCTCACCGAAACAATATTATATCCATGGCTCGTAAAATTTTATTTTGTGAAATCTATGGAAATGATGAAAAAAAAAATATTTTTATTAAATCAGGTACGCATTTTCAATAACTTATAAATTTATTAAGTATGAAAATAGTTTAAGTTCGTAACTACTGACATTTTTTACTTTAAAAAATTTTACTATAATTTTTAAAAGTCGACTTGTTCAAAAATATCGAAATCTTAAAAAAAAAAAATCTTTCGTTTGTTTTCTTACATTTAAATACTTAGAATTAGGGCTATACATTTAAACCGGTTAAAAAAGTTAACCAGGTTAACTAATTAGCTAACCATCAGCTTAGCCGGTTAACTCAAATTAGCTGAGCTAATTAGCTAATTTTTTAACTGGTTAACTTGAATTAGCTAAGCTAATAAGCTAATCAGCTAATTTTTTAACCGGCTAAATAGTTAAATTAATTTTCAAAATAGATTTATGTATGGGGCATTCCATGCTAAATCGACCACTTTTGACTCCGCCCCTTTTCGATTTTTCTGAAATTTTTTTATTTTTCTCTATCCTATTGAAAAAAATTTTCAGAATTTTTCCAAATTTTTTTATCCAATTTGGATTTATATTTAACGTTTTTTTTTTTTAATTTTGGAAAAAAACGAAAATTTCGGGATGATAGTCATTTTTGATTTTTTTTTTTTTTAAAAAAAAGAGTATTTTTAGCGAATTTCCTGAAATTTTCAGTGGCATTTTTTTTCTTCCTGTTCTTTCTTTAGAAATGAAAAAAAAAAACTTTTAAACGTTTGTTTTTTGTTAAAAAAAAAAATTTTTTATTTATAATGAAAAAAAAAAAAAATAGAAAGAAAAAAAATGCCACTCTGAGAATTTCAGGAAATTCGCAGAAAATACTGAAATTTTTTATAAAAAATAATAATCGAAAATCAAAAATGACTATTATCCCGGAATTTTCGTTTTTTTCCAAAATTTAAAAAAAAAAAAAACGTTGAATATGAATCGGAATTATTATTTTCATTTTTTTTAAAGTTCATGTACAAACAAAAATTTAAAAAAAAAATATCCCAATTATTTAATTTTCAACAAATTTATGATTATTTAACTAAAACAAGCTTTTTTTCAATAACTTGTAACTTTTTTTTTGGTTGAGCAAAAAAAATTTGAAGAATTTTGAAATTTTCTTTCAATAGGGTAGAGAAAGCTACAAAAATTTTAGAAAAATCGAAAAGGGTCGGGGTCAAAAGTGGTCGATTTGGCATGGAATGCCCCACACATAGATCTATTTTGAAAATTAATTTAACTTTTTAGCCGGTTAAAAAATTAGCCAATTAGCTTATTAGCTTAGCTAATTTAAGTTAACCAGTTAAAAAATTAGCTAATTAGCTCAGCTAATTTAAGTTAACCGGCTAAGCTGATGGTTAGCTAATTAGTTAACCTGGTTAACTTTTTTAACCGGCTTAACCGGTTTAAATGTATAGCCCTACTTAGAATGATCAAAATGTATTTGTTTAGATGCACAAAAAATTCACAACATACCTGATTAAACGCACTAGATCAATCTAAATTTAAAAATTGATATAAGTACATCGCAACTTTAGTTCCCTGCTTGTGTCTATACTTATTCATTTTTGTTAGACCTAACTATTCAGCTAATAACAAAGTCACTTAGTCATATTACATTTGATATGAGATAAAATTAAAAAGTAATACAATTATAATATTAAAAATAAAAGTAACAATAGAAAAAATGTATTCAGAGTCGAATTAAATATAAAATACAAAAGCATGAAACAACACTTTTAAAAGAATTCAACATACCTTGTCTCTTGACGAATTATTAATAAATAAAAAAATTTTTTTGCTCGACGGGCAGAAAGCGTCAAATTTCGACCTGCTGCGCTAAACGAAATCGCCACTTTCTGCCTTTGTCGAGCAAAAAAATAGCATACACTCCTCGGGAAGTAAATAAGAAAGCCTCAGATCACATGTTTGTTGACCTCGGCTTCGCCTCGGCCAACAATTACATGTGATCTGAGACATTTCTTACTTTACTTCCCTCGGTGTGTAATATACTATTATTTAGCTTAAGCTTGAACGTAGAACTTACTACTCTAAACCGTACAATAATTAGGATTAAGTAAAATGAGGCATAGAACGCTAGCGATAATTAGTGAATACATGATTTCACTGCAAATTATTAGTAGCAAAGTGTAATTGATAATGATGCAGTATCACCGACCATATTTATTTCAGAACAACACTTAGCATTGGAAAAAAACAATGCGATCATCACTAATGAGACCCACCTGTTCAATTTAAAGTCATTCTTGAAAAAAGTATTCTTACCACAAGGATTTCCTGATAGCGTACACCCTGATTACATTCCTTATCAAATATGGGATACCATTCAGGTACTAAAATTCAACTCTCATTTTTGAATTCATGTTAGTAACAATATTTATTTTCTTAATGTCAGGCATTCGCCAGTACGGTTTTGGGTGCTTTAACTACTCATTCAGTTCTTCAAAGCGTAGGGGTAGGAGAATCAACAGCAACTGCTTCTGCTGCAGCTATTTCTTGGATTCTTAAAGATGGAACCGGGATGATTGGACGGATTATATTTACTTGGTGGAAAAGGTAATTATTTGACACGACTTTTGATTTATGAAGATTCAAATGAAACATAGGGACCCTTATTTCAAATTTTTATAAGGTTTCACGTTAATCTCGCAGTATTGAATTAGACGCTCAATGTAAAAAATGGAGACTCACTGCTGATATTTTGAATGATTTAGCAATGGGGATTGAGCTTACACTACCTAGTATGCATTCGTCGTCTGTTACAATGTTACTATGTCTTTCTACTGCAATGAAGTCAATTGTTGGAGTTGCTGGTGGAGCAACCAGAGCAGCTTTAACACAACACCAAGCCTTAAAAGGTAATGTAGGTGATGTTTCAGCCAAAGATGGAAGTCAAGAAACATTCATTAATCTTATTGGATCTTTTGTTGGTATTTTTTTAATCTCATACATTCCAAACGCGTGAGTACTTAATATAAAATATGATTTATATATCATTCGATTTTTACAAAAATACACATATTCATCTTAATATTTACAGATTTTTAATTGAAATGTACCTAATTTTGGTAACTATTCATATCTATGCGAATTATTCTGCTGTTAAAGTACTGACGTTTAATTCTTTAAATGAAGACAGATTAATTTTGTTGTTTCATAATTACATTAATGATGGTATTATTTATGATACAAAATTAATCAATCAACAAGAATCTTTACTACCCTTTCATAATTCACGTAAGACAATCATTTACGTTATATTTTGTTAAGTTGATTGAAAAAATTATATTATGTCATTAAAATGTTTTTTTTTTTCTTCTAGCTAAACAATACAGTGGTTTCTCAATCAAATTAGGAATTTCTTTATCTGAAATAATAAAAAATCCAAGGATTAACAATATTGAATATTTGACAAAATTAATGAATCATTTTCGCAAAAAATCATTCTTAATTATACCAGATGTAAAAAAGGAAATAATTTATGTCATTCTAAGGAAAAATGTTCTCTCTGTCAATATCTTGGAGGCTTACTTCAATGCATATATTTATGCAAAATTCATTAATTTACAATTGAACAGAAAGGAAAACGTAATCGATGCAATAAAATCGCAGGGTAGAAGTTTTTTAAATAAACTGTATACTTTATCTGAATCTAATGTATTTAATGGTGATAGAAGACAATTTACTTTGGAACCATCAATTTCATTGGATTCTATTATTGATGACGAATTTAAACACTGGTATAAATTACTTCAAAAAAATGGTAAGTCTCTTTTTTAAGGTATTATTCTTTTTCTATACTTAATTTATTAGTATTCATCCACTTTTAGAATGGCTAGATGATTCAAATCTTTTACCCGTAAACAATTGGAGAGGAGAATGGGATACTTGAGTAAATACAAGTCAAATTTTTTACAAAGTTGAAATAAATAAAAAAATCTATTTAATTAAAATACTTTGTAACTTTAATGTTATTTCTATTTTTCTAACGGTAATCAATAAATTAATTACATGATCCGTAATTTGTTATTGTACTGAGTCTTTTATTTATGGTATAATTGTATAATAAATCGAATTTTGTATGTAGTCAATACTCAACGTTTCATAAAAATATGTAATATAGTTCATTTTTTATACAAAAGAAAAAAAATTAAATATAAATCATTAGGTTTCTTGCTCAGTTTTCATACCAGTTTGCGATAAATGTTTAACAATATCCACCCAATCCCACCCTCGAGGTTTTTCACCTTTACTATCGACCTTGTTCCAACGACGTCTTTTCTGTGATTTTGTAAGCTGCTCTTTTTTTGGTTTTTTCGCTGCTTCATCCTAGTGAAATATTAATCAAATTATATTATAGCATGGTACCATATCAAATAAGAAAAATTTCGCTAAATAATTTTTTATCTGCGATTTTGTTAAAATTTTGATCTATTGATCTATTGTTCATACGAAAATCAATTCTGACAATTTCCAATCTTTTTTAATATTTATGGTTTAATTTATTTAAAATTGATCGATAAAGAAAAAATTTTTATTTAGACTATCATAAAATTTCTATTCGACTTCTTTTAAGGTAGTACCCTCGCCAGAGGCGTTTTCTTAGGAATTTTTTTAAATTTTGGCAGATTAATATTTATATAATTCTGCATCGATTGACGCAAATTGAAATTTTTTGACCATCTAGTTTCAGAGATATTTAATTTCAAAGTTCGAATTTTTAGAGGAGGTTATGCACTGTGATATACGGGATACCAAAAATTTTACTCATATATTTTATTATAACTAAGAAACTTTTTTTAAGATTTTCATAAAAAACTAAACTACTATTAAAAAACAACTATTATTTGTTTTTTTCAAACTTTCATTGATTTTTACCATCTAGATTTTTAAATATTATTAAAAAATAACTGTATTATTCAAAAATAACCATGAGTAGAAGTGAGTAAGGAATAGCAAGTGAGAAAGACAAAAATATCCTAAACTATACCCAAATTTACTCGCACTATATGTCGCGAGGGTACTACCTTAATGAATTATTGTGATAGTCTAATTACTATGAATTTTACTCACTAATATTATGGCATTGAAGTATTATCTTTCAAATAAAAATAAAAGTGTGAGTGTTTTGGCTATGAAATTATCATAGTGTTAACAAATAAAAACTCTTGAATTGAAAAATAAGCTACTTGGATAAAAAATTCGAGAAAATAATTTATACGATGACTACAAAAAACTATGAGATGAATAAATTTTTTACTTTACTATATTCTCTTGGCGAAAAATGAAAATTTTTTAAAGATTGATATTGATATTATTTTGTTTATGTTTTTTAACATTAGATCTAAATTTTTTTTTGTCGTATAGAAAAAAGGACGTTTTTGTGTGAATCAATTTAAAAATTAATTTTGATTTATGTTAGATGCATCGTTGACTTTTTTTTGACTTCCTCAGCAACTTAGCCATATAAATTCTATTGTTAATTGTGAAAACGATTACTTGGTCTAATTTTTGGTTTGATTCCATCTTATTATTGTTAAATGAATAAACTTTTGTCTGTGCAAATTAATTTTGAAACTGTATCGTTAAAAAGACAACTAATTTTATTAATATTAACGTAACTTTACTTTCTAATAGTAATCAACGTTTAACAGGAATTAAAAGTAAATTCTAAATAATTTGATTTAAAAGAGTGATTACTTTTATGATAAAAATAATTTAAATTGATATTGGTGTTTGATAAATAATTAAGTTAATCGAAAAAAATCGGAATAATATTCAAAAAAGCAGATGTGGACTAATTTAACAAGTAAATCTAGTACAGAAAGTAAGCTCATACCTTCGAATCACCAGTACTAATAGTCAATTTATTCGTTTGGATACTTATGTCAGTAATTGAATCGGGTTGTTCTTCTAATAGTTCCGATAAATGTTCTTGAACTGATTGAAATAAAGTGTAAGTCATACCATATCCAAGCCACTGTTCTGCTTCTGCTTCTACATGAGCTATTATTTTATCTTTTACTTTTTGAAGTCTAAAATTAAAAAATTCATATTATCATCAAATAATATTATTATTGACAAGTAATATTATATCAAAAGATCCAAGTTAATTGTGAAAAATACATGTGTTTGTTGTAGAAAGTGTCCATGCTAACTGTCGGTTTTTTTGTAGGGTATTTGTCATGCCATATGATCTCCAATAAAAACGAACGAAAATCGTTATCTTCTCCATACTGAAACATGAAAATAATCAATATAAATCATTTATTTATATTATTATTATTCAAGTTTTTTATATGTAAGTTTTTACTGAATGTATTAAACAAACCTTATATTGATATGTTGTAGAATTTAACTGTTTGAAAGCATTATCTCCTTCATAAATCGACAATAATGCTTCTCTTTCTTCGTCTTGCAATTCACTGTCACACATTTTATTATTTTAATTGTATTTACAGTAAATAATCAGTTTTTAAATAATAGATGCCTTCTATCATTCTTAACCTCACTTGAGCAAATTTGGTTTGAGAAATTTATAACTAATAATTATAAAAAACTTACTACATACTTAATAAAAATAATTCAGTTTAATTTATTTCTTTTAAGACAAAATTATTTCTAATTAATAAATTTTTTTATTACACATTTTTTAAAATCCCATAATAAAATTGAGATGAAATGTATGTGAAACCAATTTATTCGTGATGTGATTGGTCGAAAGTAAATATTCTCATTCTGATTGGTTGAAAGTGAATATAATATACATAAACGACACATAAATATATCATGACAATAAATATGACGCGCGCGCTTGCGCGCGAAAATTAAATTCTAGTCCATATAAAACAGTGATGTAAAAACAGACATGAGACGAGAAGCAGATGGCAGTATGAGGAAGTACAAGAAAAACTGAAATTGACATTCTTTTCGGCCATTAGACGGTCAAACGGTCACAGGACCGCTAGCAAAATGACGAAAAGAGTGAAAAGTGCTGCCAAAGAAAGCTAGCTCTTAAACAATTCAAATAGTAAATTCATTAAAAATTAAAAATTTTCAAATATTTTAATATTAAAAAGTACACAAAAATATAAATGCCCGTATTAATATCATTATTATTAAAAATGAATGTATAGATGTCGAAAAAATGTTATCATTTCGATATTCTTCAAGACTTTTTAAATTAGTTTTCATTTCTTTAGTTATTTAAAGAAGGAAGTACTTATATAGGTTTAAAAAAATAAAAAAAAAAAAAACATTATTTTCCTCACCAAGCACCTACATTGACAATATTGAATGTCAGAGATTAATACTAATAAATGAATATAATTCTCGGTTTCTATAAGACTGCATTCGATAATTGCTTAGACGTATAACTCAACTGTTTTTCGGCGATAAAAAATTGGAAAATTAACTTATTGAATTTTTTTTCTGTTCATCCTAGAATGCGGCGAATTTATAAATGAAATTTTAAATATCGTAAAAACTAAGTTTTTCAACTACATTTTTCACTTTGAAAGTCCACAAAATGTAAACTTGTCTCGTCTATCATATAAATTTTTTTAGATATCAATTTAATACCATACTACTTATTTTCTCAAAGAGCATGAAAAACTATGAACAACCAAAAAAAAATATCATGATTTAAACATTTTTTATGAATTTAAAATAAAATTTGAATATTGATATTCTATCAAAAAATTAAAGGTGATTCAATAATTTTTCAATGTTCCTAATAATTTTATAAAATACAAGAACAAAATTTTAATTTAAATAGAAGATTTAATATTTTGTGGATTTTTAATAAAAAAATACATAATTCTATTGTGTTGATCAAAATGACAAAAATTTGTTGATACCTCAGTTTTTCAATGTTTTTAGGGTGGAAAAACAATAGAGCCACATATCTAAACTAAAACTCCGTATTTTAAACAAAATTGTTTAAATCAGTGTGGCCAGAACGTGCTCTTTTCTTACCCCCACTTTGTAGGCCACTCTCATCTGACTACATTGAAAAGCGGTACAAAGTGGGGGTAAAAAAATCGCACGATCTGGCCACACTGGTTTAAATCTGGGTAGTCATGTATTTTTAGAAATTCAATTTTTCTAATTACATCTTAAGGTAGTACCCTCGCCAGAGGCGTTTTTTTTAGGAATTTTTTAAAATTTTGGCAGATTAATATTCATATAATTCTGCATCGATTGACGCAAATTGAAATTTTTTGACCATCTAGTTTCAGAGATATTTAATTTCAAAGTTCGAATTTTTAGAGGAGGTTATGCACTGTGATATACGGGATACCGAAAATTTTACTCGTATATTTTATTATAACTAAGAAACTTTTCTTAAGATTTTCATAAAAAACTAAACTACTATTAAAAAACAGCTATTATTTGTTTTTTTCAAACTTTCATTGATTTTTACCATCTAGATTTTTAAATATTATTAAAAAATAACCGTATTATTCAAAAATAACCATGAGTAAAAGTGAGTAAGGAATAGCAAGTGAGAAAGACAAAAATATCCTAAACTATACCCAAATTTACTCGCACTATATGTCGCGAGGGTAATACCTTAAG